TGTGTGGCTCTCTGCAGAGACTCAGAGATCATCCCATGCAAAGTTTGTTGCACACCTGCTGTGCATTTGAACGGCTTTACAGCGCTATAATATCTACTTATTTTTACTAAGTGCTCCAGCCCTGGTTAATTGTGTGTTCCAGGGGCTGACTTTAACTCCAGCGTGCAGGCAGGCTGTAAACTTTTACTCTGATGTGAACCTTGGCAGCAATTTGTATCCCTGCGGTACAGCAAACATTATGCTGAGAAATTCTGGCGTGCCAGACGAAATTATGGCCTTCCAGACCCAGATTAAGCCTGTGTTTCAGTTCTTAAGTGCCCAGATTCCCACTGAGCCCAGCCAGAGATGCAAACCCACAAGCACTTCTGTAAGGATGTATATTTGAAAGGCATTAATTGTGTTTTTAAAACTCAATTCTGACGCAGCGTCAATAGAAGATGTAAATGGCTACGGACACACAGCACTGGGACAAAGCTGGGAAGGTCTTAGGGAATCCAAATAACATTCCCAAAGCTGAAAAATCTCCTAGTCAGAGGTCAGCACCGCTGCAGTTTCCATACTCTGCTGGATGCGATTGGCCTGTGTGGGATCTCCCACTGCAGTCCAGGAACAGAGAAATGTCCAAACGGATTCTTCCATTGGGGTGATGAAGTGCCCGCTCCGCCTGCCAGCGTGCAGGGCTCAATAAAAGCAGACAGGCCTTCAAAAAAAGAGCAGCATAAAGAGATGAACTCTTTAAAGTAATACAAGTTCTGTCATCTGGATGTGAAATATGGGCCTGAGTGGCCGCTGAAGTAACAGCTGACCGCACGTGGTGCAGAGAAGGGCTCAAAGTTTCCTCGGAGTGTCTGGGGCTGAGCGAGGTTTTAACGACATCCCTCCCTGCCCCAGCACACAGGAGGAAAGCATTTGAAGTTAAACCCATTTTTCAAAAGAAGAAAACAAAGCATCCATAAAGAAACAAAGGCACATCACGGGATGAGGTCTCTAGATAGCCGCTGTTTTCGGGGAAGCTGCAATTAGCTGTGCAACAGGGAAAGTGAATTTAGCTGTATTTCAACAGCATTTATAATGATTGCAGCAGCTAAAATGCTGATAGGTACGTGCAGGGGGTTGGTTTCAAGATTTCCTTGTGAGACACAAGGTCAGGATTCCTGTGGTCTCCTGTCATATTTAATTCATATCCTCTGGCCTTCTTCAACACATTTATTGAATTACAGGAATAAAATTCAATGAACCAAAAACAAAAGAAAAGAAGACATGGCAAGTCCCGATTTCTTTTATGCCCCTCCTGCACAACTGAGTTCAGTGGGCTTGTAGAAGAGTATCCTGGAGCAGGAGTTGGAAGGAGGGGGAGGTACAAGTCAGTAAAACCCCTCTCACCATCCCTCTAATCGCATCCAAGTAATTTATTGCAAGGAGCAACCATTTGCATGTGGGAGTGAGGATCCAATTTCCACCAGTAAAGACTCTCCCTGGGTACTTTCTAAGGCTAATCTGTGCACTCCCTGGGTGTGTTTACCAGGCTCCTTCTTGCCACAAATGAGATGGCAGTAAATGGCTCTGCAAAACCGCCCAGAAGAGCATCACTGGCAATTCATCACATCAGAGCTGAGAGAGGCAATGCTTAAATATGGTAAAACACCAGCTCCAGGGAAGTGCCCTGCTGGTGTGCTTGTAATGGTGATTCCCTGCAGTCAGCTTAGTCAAACTGATCCAGCCTCTCTCCTCCCTTCACAGTAAGCTCAGCCTTCCCAACAGGCCCCTGGTGTGGACTCTTCTGCTGGAGCAACGGGGAGCAGCTCTGTGATTTGGGGGAAGAACATTCCCTTGTGGCTCCTCTACTCCTGTTATCCTATTTGCATTGCCCTGAATGCTGCCTCCAAGAGCTGGCTGGTTTGGGTATGACTGGGGATCACTCACATCCCCCAGCTACTTTTTGAGTCAAATCTACCCCCAGTTCTGCTCTGTGGTTCCGACACCCCTCCGAGTTAAAACAGAGCCATCCCCTGGTGTGGGCACAGTCACATCAGAACCTCACACAAACACCCCCTACCGATACCCAGGAACATCTTTACAACAGTGTCATTTGGTTTCAGAGCCAGAAATGTGCAAATCTGGTTGTTGAGTCTGACCCAAAATAATCATCGGAAAAAAGAAGAGAGAAAATGTTTTGAAATTCCGTCCAAAACTGCAAGCTCACCACTATTTAGCTGTGGCATTTGAATTTTTGGAAATGTCACAGCTAATAAATAATGTATTTTTTTTTTTCCTAAGCTACAAGGTACATTTTTATTTTACAACTTGAATCTGCTTAACTTCCAAAAATTAAGTGCTCTGCTCACGTCCACCTCAACCTATGGGATGGCTGCCTTTCCACTTAATACATTTAATAAAGGTGACCAGATGCTTTGTGTTTTTAATGGCTTGTTCTGCATCCCAACAAAATGTCCCTGTTTTGGCTGTGAGAGCAGATGATTCATCCTGAAACCCAGCCCAGCTGCCCTGACACAGGGCACAGATAAAAACACACCATCTGTGCTGGGGAGTGGGATGGAGGAGTGCTTTGTCAGGAAAACACTGTCCTTCCTTGGGCACTGTGTATTCCAGGCACCCAGAACTCCCCAAAGCCTATGGGTCCAACCTCTCTGCCTCTGCAGTTCAATTTTGCAGTCATATCCCATCTCCCATCATATTCTCCTCCTTAGAAACCCCTCAGCCTGCTCAGCTCTGTAAGACCCGCAGATCAAACATTTCTGTACAATGTCAGATGTTGCTCCTGGTTTTATTCTTTCCAATCACACGGCACAATTCCTGACCAAGCCAGAAAATGCAAGAGGGATTCACTTCTGGCTCTTCTGAATAACGAGCTGTGCCCAGCTCTGCAGTAGCACCACTCCACCCTCAGCTCTGCCAGAGGACACGTCCTGCACTCAGGGATCCCACACCTGCCCGATCCAAGGGCAACATTCCACCCACAGGCAAAGCTCCTGCTGCCTCAGCAAGAGCCAGGCAGGAAGATCTGAAGGGAAAGCCAGGCTTGGAGGGTGTCATTGAGAAAAGGCACTTGCAGCCTTGCAGGGTTCTGGCCCCACAGCATCTCCCACCTCCCCTGCAGGCAGCACCTTCTCCCTGCCTGGGAGCATTCCCAGTGGGATTCAGTGGGGTGGGAAGCGAAGGTCCCTGCCCAGTTTTCTGCACAGCCTGTGTTCTGCAGCATCTGAAAGAACCACTGCAGCTCTCAAGTCATCTGGCATGCACACGAATGACAAATACGCTTCAGAGGCAATAAATTAGCAATTTCAAGGCTTTACTTCCCCTCCTGGACTAATTGCCAGAGATTATAGTATATTATGTGAGAGCAATGATACTAATGCCTAAATATGCTTCAGTGATTATAGAGCTATCCTCAATAACCAAGCTGTTTAAATGTCAATGCAAGAAAGCTCTTTATTACGAGATTAAATATTGTTTTGAAGCAATGCAATAGGAACTTCCCAGGCTTCCTGCCTGCAAAAATGCTGCCTTGGGGCAATATATATTGGACAAGGTATGCTTTTTGAAAATGTGGGCAGTAAAGGGTCCCAAAATACTTTTGTGCTGCACACTTGAACAGCATTCCTGATAAGAAGGGGGATCCTGGCAGCTTTTATTTTGTATTTGTTACTAACACGCTGCCGCCTTCATCTTTCCTGCACTTGTCTGTCACCACCGCACAGAGAAGATAAATCCTTGTTTTCTGTTAGTCTGAGTTGGGAATCAAACCTTAAAGACCTTTTCTTCTTTTTATTCCACCTCTGAGCACCAGTATCTTGCACAGATACTTCTGAGCCCTGCCCCTCACACCTCAATAAATCTCTTTACACCTGGCCTTGAGAGAACCCCTGGAAATGAGATGGAAGCTCCAACTTTCCGGTTCAGCTGCTGACACGAAGCAGAGAACAGAAGTGTCTCTAAGCCATGGCTCCAACTGCACAGCTCTAGAGATGCCAGTTGTGGCATCATCCACAACCTCAGTGTGGATTTAGAAGGGAAGGAAAGAAGGCTAAAAAGGCTTTAACATCCCACTGATCTCATACAGGACCCACCCACTACAGATCTTGTCACACAGCTGTGCTGCCTGTCCCTTGATTCCTAATAAACTCAATAATTACAACTCAAAGTAATATAGAAAACACATAGATAGGCCTGTGGGGACAGATCATGTAAAATTAAGAACACAGAAAGACAACTGCTCATGAATTTTGGTGGAATTCTCTTTAAGTAATTTTTTTCCTTTAGGAAGCACTGTTTCTTAAACACTTCTCCTCCATGGTGTGCTCCTGAAGTGAAGGGGGGCTTCAAATATGGATGACCAGGGAACTTATCACTGAGGATCCCATTCTGCCCAGCTGTAGCAGGACTGGACACCTGGATCCACATCCTGATACTTTCTGCTACATCCTGGCAATCGTTAATTGCTAATTTTTGACGTTTCACCTTGGCTGGTTTCTTCAGCCATTTTATATCTCACCTCTAAAACACAGTGCTTGTTTACCTCAGGATGTCTGAAGCTCTTTCTGATGCTCAGGTAAAAGACACCTGCCACACGGGCTCAGAAAAGACAGAAATTGCTCTATCATTTGCAACATTTTAAAATATCTCCATCTATTAAAATCACACTGTGACTGACAAGGAACCTGCTGAAAGGCCAGGAGAATTCTTTCTCTGCTCTTCCAGGCAGACAATGAGCTGACATCCTTTTTGTTATGCCTTGACTTAGAATATAGGATGGGAAACCATGTCTTTGTCGCAGTGATAAACTTAGAGCAGGGGTGTTAAGCACACAACCAGAAGCAGAAAGTTGACACTCAAAGGAGACCGATGTGGACTCATCACAGAACGGGGGACAAACACGTGCATTGGCCACTTCTGTGCAAACGTGACTTGAACTCAGGTTGAAATGCTCTTGAATTGTGTGCAGAGAGTTGTGAAGCCCCAGCAGTCCCAGCTGCACTCACCATGAAGCCGGGGGCGCAGGAGCAGGCCCCGCTGACGCTGTCACAGTCGGCCCCGTTGTGGCAGGGGCAGGGCAGGGCACAGCCCTCGCCGTACGAGCCTGGCGGACACGTCTCGTTGCAGTAGAGCCCAGCCCAGCCAGCCTTGCAGCTGCACTCTCCAGACAGGGGGTGGCAGCTAAAGGAGAGACAGACAGACAGACAGACAGACAGATATCTGTGAGATGTGGGCAGGAGGGGAAAACACAGCCCAGCACATCTCGGCACTGGACAAACCTAGAGCTGTTCGGGATGGTGGAATTTAGGATGGGAACTGGGAACGTGGTGCTAAACACCAAACTGGCACAGCACCTCCAAACAACCTGGGAACTGCCACAGCACTGGTTATTTTACACCATGCTCTTCCACTCTCCAATCAATGCGACTTGGATCACTGACATCAACCAATCCACGGGCTGTAGGGTGTGTGTGTGCAGGACACCACATGGACAGACAAGGAGAAAGGAGAATTGAGCCCAGAAGAGCGGACAGTGTCTGGCCCATCTGGATCTGTGGGTGGAAGACTCAACCCTTTGCTCCTCCTGCCATGAAACAGTTTATTTTTATTCAGCATTTCTCCTTCTCCCAGGTTTCCTCAGGGCACTTCCTTCCCACAGCAGGAGAGCCAAGCCAAGGCTGTGGTACCATAATGGCTCTGCCCAGCCCTCAGTGAGGGAGATGAGAAATAATATTGAGGAATAATGAGAAACCAATTTCTTTATCATTCTCAGAACAAGAAGGACAGACTTCTGCAAGGTGGCACCTCTCTATGGACCTGTCTCCTGGTTTTTTGCTTCACAGAAGCGATTCATTTTCCTTTACAGTTATTTATTGCCATGGTTTAAGATTGTAGACATGACTGAATGGGTTTCTTTACACCTATAAAATTAATATTGTATATGTTAATTTTCAAGGTAACCTCATAAAATGTAATTTCCAAGTATGTTTCAGGCAATTACTGGTAGGAGAGGTTGGTCATATACTGTTGTGACTGAGAAGGATCAAATTCTGTAAGTGTCATGTGTTTCATCATAAATAGCATTTTACTGACTAATTAAAACAATTAATCAGCTTAACAAACTACCATCCATGAAATTCTTCTGACAAAGCGGTCCCTGAAATTATGGTTGTTCACAAAGCACCTCTTAACACTCAGATGAAAATAATAAAGGCCCATTTTTTCCCCCTCTGTGTCTATTAATCATTACCTAATAGGAGCAGAAAGCTCAACACTAAAGGAGTGTTTTAAAGTGGATTTTGTGTTCTTCTGTTTCCACTACTACTGCACATATCATATGCTTCCATGAGAACTGCATCTGCTGGCTAAATTAAATCTTTCAAGGTAATGTATGATCAGGGCAGCTGGAATCAGTCTATGACAATTCAATTGAAAATGCTACGCTCAGGAAGAGTTTTTACTCTGAAGTTGGCTCCTTCATCAACGTGGACAGCTCTTCTGCACGGGATGCAAGCTCTGTGCTCAGGACTCAAAATCCTCCTGCCATGTACTAAAATAAGAATGAAAAAGCAAATAGGCTTTGCAGAAGAATCTGCAGGAGATGGGGGGGGCTTTGACTCCAAACCAAGGGTTAGTAGAAGGTTGAGACCATATTGAGCCCCACTAAAGCCTTGTCCACCCTTTCATGGGACTGTGAGCCAGGAAAACCTCGAGCAGATGTTTGGGTCCCTCCATCCATGCAATCTTCCCGTTGCAGTAAGGACAGTTTTGTTACCAGCCTGAGCAGATCAGGGCTTTGTTCCTCTCCTGAATCAAAGGCATTTGTTTGACAATTGAGGTGCCTGATGCAGCGCTGACTTGAGGAGGGCTGAGACTGAGATGCTTTTCCAAACCCCAGACAGCAGCTGTTCCCTCCCCAGTCCTGCCAGGGAATCTTGGCCACGGAACTCACTCCTTCTGCTTCGTTTTTCCCGTTTCTAAAACGATGCCTTCCTTCCTTTGGAAACCCTTTTAAGACCTGCAGCTGACATCACTAAACAGCACTAGGTTTTTATATTCATTCTTTTCTTAACTGGGAGGTAGGAACTCTTCCAGTAATTGCAGTGAGCAGAGTTACACTCTAAATACACTGCAGCTCATGATGACTACACATCATCATGAGAGGGAGAAGGGGAGGGCTCCAAAAGGATCCCAAAGGCAAACCCACTAACAACTGCCTTCCAACCTTGCTGGGAGCAGGAAGGGAACCTTCCACACTTCCAAGAGGTTGGCAGTGCTATACAATAGTAGTTTGCATTGAATTTTAACAACTTGCATTTCTTCAAGTCTCCTGCACCACAGGAAGGAACAGTGGGAGAAAACCCAGGGTGAACACAGGCAGTCAAGTGCTCCTGGGGCTCCAGGCCATGCAGAGCTGGGAATGGAGCTGTCCACTCCCTGAGAAGGAAAGTGTTCCAGGGCTCCTCTTGCACTGTGGAACCCTCTGTGTGATCCCTTTTGAGCCACACTTACAGCAATAAAAGATTTACTTGTAAGAGTTTTACCAGCTGAACTGAAAAACACAAAGGCATTTTTAACCTTTGAGGTTTTTTAAGCATCTAATTTTAGGAAAACTGCAGGAAAGCAGGTAACTTCCTTAAGGCAAATTGGGAAAAGAAATGCTTTAGACAGCACAGTCTGTTCCAAATTCTGAAATTTGTTCTCCACACATCTTTCAGCCAAAACAACTTCTTCCCAGAGAATTTTCTGACTTTCTGTTTACACATTAGCACCAGTCATCTCATCTTCGTTAGCAACAGCCCTAATCCTTACTTAACAGTATTTTCTGTCTCTTGGGGTCCATACTACAGTCAGTTTTCCTTACTAAAACGCCTCTTGCTTTAAGGAAGTGGCCACAGTGAGGCTGCAGGGCCTCTCTTTCAGTCCAGCACGTCTTCAAATCCAGCCTCACACAGCACATTATTGACTTAGGTCAAGGTAAAACTTCCTGTAAACTCTGGGGGCTTTGGTCCTTCCAAACCTGTCAGTGCTGAGGCAGGAATTGGAGCCTCTGAAGATCTACTTTGTCCCAGTGCCTTCCTCCCCTTCTCATGTCTGTGACCTTGGAAAGACATTCCCAAAGGCTCCACACAAAGGCTGGGTGGACAAGACCATTCCAGCTGTTCATTTTCCTGCTTTAAACACCAAGCCAGGATTATTCCTTTCCAATACTGCAGGCTGCCTCAACACTGGCTTTTTGCAGAGGAGGATTTTTTACAGGTGCATCCTTTCCTGTGGAAGGACAGTCCAAGTCACCAACATGTTCTAAATCATCTTTTCTAAGTCAGTTGTGGGGTTGTTCAAACGTCCTGCACAAAGTGCCTTTCCCTGTGCTCTGATGCAGAAATTATTGGATGATGTTCTTCAACATGCTGGAGGTTAGACTGGATGATCACACTGATCTCTTCAGACATTAAAACAGATCTGTGAAAGTGGAAGAGCTGATTGTGTGCTTCCTAATGTCCCTCCTCAACCTGCTCCTCGAAGCCCCCAGAACTTTCTGTTCCAGTCAGCTCTCCAATAACCAGATGAAATGAGTCAAAACCAGGGACAGGAACTTCCCTCACCTTCTACAAGTGTTTTTACACACCTGGGGATCACAACAAGCAGCCAACAGCTCAAAGTGCTTTGGGGAAAATAGATTGCTATCAGTAAATGAACCACTTTGGAAGACCCCAGTTCCAGTAGGGATAAACACTCAGGGAGGAACGGGTGGAGGAGTGCCCTGTATGGGACTGGTTAAACAATGAGCTAAACAATGAGCAAAAAGATTTGTTCCAAATAGGGAGTGCCTTTGGAAAAGGTCATTTTCCATCAGCTCTGACGTTCCCTGGCTCAGCAATTGACAGCGCTCGGTGGAGCTCATTGAAAAGTGGAAAGCTCAAATCCCACGGATGAATGAAAGAACATTTGCAGATCTACAGCTTGCTGATACCTCTTTGTTCCATAACAGCAGTGATAAGATGTAGGAAAAAAGGCAGATTTTATCAATAGAGAGACTAGACTCATTTATTAAGGAACCAGAGATACCATCTCAGCCGAGGATGCTGCAAGGCAGGCTGATGGAGCAGTGATGGGAGGGAAGGAATAAAATGTACCCATCAGGCAGCAACCAGGAACGTACAACATTCCTACAACCAGGGTGTGTAGGAATGACCACATGCCCAGAAAAGAGCTGGGAGGGGATTCAATCCTTCACTTTTCTGAGCTCTCTCAAGCCTGAGGCCTCCTCTTTCCTCGCAGCTGGATGGTGCCAGTCTGTTCTTTCAGGAAAGCCCCTCTGGCAAATCCTCAGAGCACCCCTCTGAGTAACACAGGATGAATTCCTGCACCCTCAAACCCACCTAAAAGGCTCTTAATGAACTGAGCACTAAGCTGAGAAACAGCAGCCAAGCTCAGCCTTGCCCATGGCCTACACTTAGTAAATAGAGTCCTTCCACTCTATTTACACCTTTATGGGAATATGGGCCCACAAGCAGGTTCCTGCAGGCTCAGGAGGGGTGAAGACACGGTGTCAGCCCCTGTCCATGAGCATATTCTCACCCTCCAGCACTCCTGAGGAGCAGTTACACTGAGGAGCAATTCAGGCTGTGTTTACCCCAGGCTGGAGTCATGCCCAGTGCCGGGTGCCGCAGCGTGTGACACACAGGAATTTACACCTCAGCTCACTCTGCAGTAACTCCTGAGACATCCCACATCCTCAGCACAACACAGCACTAACCTTTTGTGTGGAATGTGCAGCTCATGCCTCAGGGATGCTATTTTTGCAATGATTTCATGACACACAACACAATCAGGGGCGATGGAAGCCTTGTTGTACAGAGCTCCCTTTGAGCCTCGAATCCTTTGGATGCTGGCTGTCAAACCCACCAGGGCTGCAGCCCTCTTGCTCCACAGGAGTTGGATCACCACAATTACAAGTTTTTTAAATAATCCACTGTGAGCTCTGACTTTCAGTTAAACAAAACCTCACCACTCACAGTTGAATTCACGAGGAAAATCATCTGTTTACTCCCACGACTGAGACAAACAGGGTCTATCTCGAGCACACAGAGAGATTTGCCTGAAGTGTTTGTGTGTGAGTGAGTGTGAGTGTGCACACAAATTAGGTGCTGCTGCTTGCATCCATAACTGGGAGTGTTTATATTTCAGCAGGCAGCAAGATCCAAGGCAGGTTTGTCATCATCTGCAGGACAGTCAGGTCCCCACCTGTCTGGTTGGAAATTGAGGAATGTCTGCACCAAGGGCATGTTTGCTTGGGCATCAATTATCCCACCTCCCTCTGAAGCACACACAACCCTAAATTGGCTCTGCCTGCTGAAGAGGAATGGGCAGAAAAGGGGGGGAATGCAGTGGGAGCCGAGGGGCTCAGCATGGAGCAGGTGAGGGATGTGGCACTCCAGTCCATCACACAGCGCAGGGTTTGGCTGTCCAGGCTCCTTTACTGCAGGTCAGGGAGTGAGGAATCTCCAAACAGCCATTCCAGCAGTGGGTAAACAAGGCAAGGAGTTACAAAAGGTAACAAAGAGGATAATAGGGAAGAGTCTTAAATTCTTCCTTTTTTTCTTTTTCAAGGTTTGGAAGACTCATTCAAGCCTGCAATGGGAAAGCCAATTCAAGGTGCTCAAGTGGCTCTGGCTCTTAAGTGATGAGAACCTCAAGAATAAGACTCTAAAAAAAACAAATAAAGGGAATAAGACATCAAAACCTGACCTTTTAAGTGAGGCTGATTCCACTGTAGGTACAATTCCCTGGTATTTATTTTCCTGAAGATTTCCCCCCCACACACACAGTGAATGAGGAGCAGAAATAGGCTCACATGAGGAGTCTGTTTTGACAATGTCGACTGTGTTACAGTTCCACAGACTGACTCAGGGATATTGATTTCAGTCTATTTATACATCTGCCTCAAGTGTTTGCAACAGGGTAATTTGCCACAAGACATAAACTGAAGCAAATTAGGTTTCATTTTGAAAGTCCCCTTGCTGTCTGCGGATCTAACGAGAAAACCCATGGCATAAAAAAAGCCAAAGTGATGGATTTGAGTAAACATATCTCTATTTTTAAAACTTCAGGGGGTTATTATACATCACATATGGGCATCACCTGATGGTGATGCCTCCAAGACTTTATTTACAGGATAGAGCTGTGTGTCAGGTTGTTTCAGATGTTACCAGAGCTGTTAACAGATCCACGCTCAGTAAATGGCTGGACTGAGGCTTGTGGTTCCAAACCTGAGGTCATTTCAATCCAAGCTTTGCAGTCCAGAGGAACTCTCTGTGTTTGTACTTAAAACTACAGAGAAAAAGGCAGGGTGTGCAGTTAATTGAACCCTTCCCAATGCTTCCCCTTGACCAGTCTCTGCACTGCAGCATTACACGACATACATACCTGAGAGTGTTGGTAACATTGCAAGGGCATCTCTTGTTGCATTTGAGGCCATAAAACCCTTCTGGACACATCCTTTCTTGGCAGTAAATCCCTTTGAAGCCAGGCTCGCAGATACAGGCTCCATTGACGTGGTAACACTTGGCCCCGTTCTGGCAGTCGCAGGTTTGGGAGCACTGGAAGCCGTAGGTGCCGATGGGACACTCCTCCTGACACCTGCAGGGCAACAGGGGACAGGGCAGCCAGTCAGAGCTGCAGCCTCCCACACAGGAGTGTCTTTGTTAATCAGCTAAACACAAAACCACTGCTCATTTATTTAAGTCACACACCGGGAGCTGATGATCTCATTGGGGTGATGTGCTGTGATATCCTGGGTGTGGAAATGGCTGTCAGCTGAAACTGCAGTAATCTCTGCCCAATTGTATCTGCAACATTTGCATTAGTTAATATTTCCTTCGTTTACAAAGTGCATTCTTCTCTCCTGGACCTTGACAATTCCACTCACCAACCATAAGAAATTGATGTGGGATAAATTATTAAAAAAAAGAAAACCCTCACCTGTTTGCTTTATCACAAAAGGACTTCCCTGAAAGCACATGATCCTCCTAGTGATGATGAGAGCTCAAAGGGAATGTGGCCTAAGCAATACTGAGCAAAGTTCCTCCAGCTTTACTTGCCCTCTTTGCTGTCATTGCATCAGCTTTACACCAATAAGGAGAAAATAAAATCCTTTGTCTTTTGTGTGTGTTCTGAGTAACTAAAGCTTAAATTTACTTTTCTTCTCCTACTCCAGGGCTGCTCAGTAGTGTAAAATCCCAATAAAAATCACTTTCACGCTCCTTAGTGAAGAACCTTCTTCGAAATTGCCGGCTTTAATATTTGATACACCCAAAAATGGAACCTGCAAACACTCTACACAGATTGCTTTAAACTGCACCTTCCATGCACTGTTTTAAATATTTCCCTGCTGGATACATTCTCATATCTGCCAAAAAGTCTCTCTCCTTGTCCTACACAACCAATTTAAGAGTTCATACTACTTCCTACTTTGATAAAGCTCAGCTAAGGTCCTAAAGAAAAGCAGCTGATTCTGTGCTGGACATAATTCAGTGGTCTCGAAATCCTGCCGTGAGTCAGTCCTACAGTTTACATGATCCACCGTGAAATACAGACAGGCCTTTTCAGTTCATAAAAACAGCAAAAGAAGGCCAGAAAAGCCCAATTCCCTTATCACATGGATGCCAGACACTGGAAATTGCCTATCAGCATTAATTTAAGCCTGGGCATTGATTAAAGTGTATACTGTAAACTCAGTGGATGGAGGCAATTGTTAAATGTCTTTTCTGCAGGTCATTTCACAGCTGGCAGGTGAGAGTTAATATAATGATCAGTAATAAAAGATTAATGTGTGATGCAAGGCAGGCAAAACTGCAGTGAACACGGGCAGTACATAAGAAGGGCATCACTTCTGCAGCTTCAGATTATCTCGTTTTCCTCAAACTAAACGACCACAGCGAAGGGCTCAGCCAGGGACTTAACCCCGGCAGCCACCACCACAGCTGGGGCTCCAAATCCAGGGTGAGGAGTTCATGGAGACCCAGGGAAAGAGCCTGGAGGAGCCCCAGCAGCAGAACCAGCAAGGAAAGGGGAGCAGTGGGGCTGGAACAGTCAAAGCAGAGGAACTGCAAGAGGAGGGGACTGAGCTCCTCATTCCCTGCTCCTGCCCAGGCCCTGCTCGTCAGGAGAGCTCTGCTGCTCTCCACGGGATCAGCACTCAGTCAACAGTGCTCTGGATCACTCCATATTTAGAGAAGATGAAGCATTACCTAGCGGGGAGAAAAGCATCTGGAAATGAAATATTGACGACCTAATCCATTTACATAATTAGCCTTTTTCTACTAACAATTTAACCAACTTATTTATTTGGAGATCAAGCAGCTCCCGCTAATGAATTTTATACAAAGAATACTAATAATGACTCCTCTGGAACATGAGAATAATCACAGCAGGAATTAGCTTTCTACTTAAACATCTTTCCTTTGCAACATATCAATCTAATGTGTCCATAGCACCATTAACAACCAGATACATTGTTCAATTAAATTACAAAATGAGCTGCTAAGCCCTAGTTATGTTTCTTGTTTAATTTACATTGCTTTCTGCCTATCTGGGGAGATTCGTATTATAATACCCACTGAACTTTAATATGTACTATAATTATTTGGGTTGGGATAGGATAATATGGCTGTCACCTGTAGAATTAATGGAAGCAATTTCACAAAATATTAAACAGAAGACAGCCTGCTTAACAGATGAACTTAGTACACGTACCTACATTTTTTCCCATAATTTCTTCTTTGTTAAGGAATGATGCTGTGAAGTTTGTCAGGCTTTTCTCTATCTTTGTTTTGAAACAGTGATCATGTTTATGTAGCACAGATAAATACGAAAAGCCATCCAAAATACACTAACCAGGAGGTAGGAGATCCAGCCACAAACACGACAACAGAAAAAAATCTGCTCATATCGTTCTAAGAAATGTGCTATTTATTCTGTTAAGACTCAATCTTTAGAGTCAGTGGCAAAATGGAAAACAAAGCTAAACCAGCATGTTCACTTTTCCTGTCAGGCAGTGAATTGTGAGACACCCCATCCTCAGCTTCTAACTGTGCCTCTGCTATTATTCCTTTCCAGTTTGTAAAACATACATTTCCCTGACATATCCAGTCATTTCTGTGAGCACAAAGCATCCTGCAGTTATTAACAGTGCCTGCCAATTTCCTGGAGATTTAGTGCAGTGCCACTCTTGGAAAACAGGTAGGGAACAAAAGTGTGGCAATTACACTCACACAGCCCTCTCTGACCATTCCATCTGCACAGATATTTATCTAAGTCTCTGTTATTATCTCCTGCACACCACGATGAACTGGAGCATTATACAGTACTTATGATAATTTAAAGATGATGGTAGGCAAAGTGTATTTATATTTTTATTGCTGTTATTCACAACATCAGTTATTATTAAGAAGATTTCTTCAGCACCTTGTAAGACATGAAAGGAAACACTGTTTTGTGGTGCAGCAGCTTCTCCTGCTCGCAGTAACTCTGGTGGATACAGGTCCACAATGTGACCTTCCCTCGCTTCTTTTCCACCTCTCCCAACCGGTTCTGCCTTATTTTTTTCCCTCCCTCCTTTTGTCTTCCCAAGAAACATCTTTCTTTGGAGTCTCCCACTTTTCTCCAGGCCTAGATCTGATGAGTCCACAGCCTCTTTGCTCGAGGACAATCCTTGTGAGCTCCTGCCAGCTCTGCCCTGAGGTGTTTCCTCTTCCCAGTCTCTCCTCAAGCCACCTCCTCCAGCCCCTCTCTGAGGACAACCAGCAACAAAACCACCTCCCCATCTCCTTCCCTCGTCCCCAAGGGGGATGCAGGCTGCTGGCTGGGAGATCCCAGCAGCTCCAGCACTGCTGATTCACCTACAGCCAGGAATCCATCAGGATGTGCAACAACCAAACAAGGAGACCTGGAAACAGTGGCTCTGTCAGCCTTCCCAAGCATGGCCAGCACTGGGAACAGCTTGGGATTGAAATGTGGTCACCAGTATAAGGGTCCAGGATGGGAAGTTGCTTCCAAAAGCCTCCACAAGGAGAGAAGCAGCAGTGACATGGTAGCCCATGGCTGGAAGCACTGTCTCCAGGTGGAGGATGGGGAACAGAGTCACACCAGTATCTTCTCCACTCAATTATTATGAAGTAATTGGTATTTCCACCACATCCAACCCCAAAAAAACCCTGAGCCTCCTCCAATATCACTGTCCATGGAATGGAATGAAGGTAGTTCCACGTGTGATGGGAGGAGCAGCCTCCTGACCCCCCAGGGTCTACAGAGACCTGCTGGTTACACAGAGAGCAACAAAGGAGAGACTCCAGTGAGCTGTGCTGCATCCACGTGGAATTGGAGCATCTGTCAGTACATGGGGATGAGCTTCCTCCAGCTCATAAAAGCAGGGAACACACAGGAGGAAGGGTTTAGCAGAGCACACACTGGTGAGCTGTGCCCAGCGGTGCCTCAGCCCAGCCCCAGAGCTGCCTGAACTGCACCTCCCAACCTCTGGCAGCAGGACCAGCTGGAGGGCTGAGCCAGCACGTGCTGCAATCCCTCATTGACTCTGCTGTGCAGTCATTTTGCTGAATCCATGACACCTTGGTAAAACAATATTATCATCTCCTCTGATCGATTCATGGGTGAAGGCTCTCGTTTATAAATTTGGAGGATTTATCACCTTTTGCTGGTGGCTGAGATGGATCAGTGCTACAGCAGCACAGAGGGCTGAAGGAGACATTAAACTTGCTGTGTTGCTTACTCTTGAGGATATTAATTTGTACAAAGATAGTTCATTTACATATCTTGTAAACATGTAATGCTCTCTATTAAATTTATCACTGTAAATATCTAAATTAAATTTAATCCATTAAATTTTAAAAGTTATATTAAAAACCCCTGTAAATGGAGAGCACTGCCAATAAAAAGTAATAACACTGCCACGTTTATATTGCTTGAAGTGCTTCAGAAGGATGAACCTAATTGGAGCAGTAGAAACACAACACCATTTTTCAGAGGGGAAGATTGTCCTAGAAGGGATATAAATATTGACAATCCCTGGTTAAAATGAAAGGCTTTTGGGAGGTTGGTTTTTACCTGTCTCCTATATAGCCAGCTGTGCAGATGCATTTTCCTGTCACGGGGTCACAGTGTCCTCCGTTGTGGCACGGACAGTCCTGGCTGCAGTTGATTCCAAAGGTTCCAGGAGGACATGGCTGTGCACACACCAGCCCCTGGTAATGTTGCAGAGAGAGCAATATTTCAGTCAACATTCACAATGCAATAAATTTCTATATGCAGCTGAGATTTTTACTGTCCTTCTTGCTAAACCCAGGAACGAGTGTAGCAGCAATATTTTATCTGTAGAAGATGAGCTAAAGATAATCTGAAAACTCTGCTACCAGAGTAAATGCCTGTCTGCTCTGACTCCAGGAGGGATTTTTCTCACCACTGTCCACTCCCTGATAATTCTCTTCTCTGCATCTCCCTGTAAACTACAGCTGAGGTGGCAGGAGATTCACTGCCCCTTGTAAAGGTCCAGGAAGGTCTGGGAGAGGATAAAAGCAACCAGAGAAGGCTACAAACCTGTGTGTGCTGCTGGGGTTTTGTGAACTGCTGTTGAGAGGCTGAAATGTTGTTGGACACAACCTGAGTGGAGAACATTTGGGAAGGAAAGGATTATTGGGAAGGTTGCACTGAAGTTGTGCGAGTTTTGATAGTCTGTGATCATCTCCCTTGTTCAGAAAGTCCCTCTTCAGCCAACCACAAAGAAGACCAAAGAAGACCCAACCTGGAGTCCTTTCTGAGTTCCTGACCTGCCTCAACTCCACATCTGGGTGGTGACCTCCTTTCCCCATTTTATGCTCCCAGCCCTCTGCCCTCCTGCATTTTTATTCCAGTCCTCCCCTGATCCTTTTTGCAGACTCCCTTTTAGTGCCCTCCTTCATCTGGACCCAAATCCCCACGTGTGAGTTGCTTCCTCCTTGCACAGACAGACTGGCACTGCTGGGCACCCTGGCACTGCTGACAAGGAAAAGCAATTCCTGGGCAAGCCTTGCTCCAGCTGCTCGGCCCCAAGGCAGGGAATGCTCACTGCTGGTTGGAGTCACGTCTCTGGAGAATTCACCTGCCAAACTCAGGTGGTTCTACTTCCCCAGGTATCCCATAATGTCCCCTGCCAAGTCTCAGAGCCTTACAGGGATTTCCCCGGACTTTCTTAGAAGTTGCATGAATGTTTTGTTGTTTTTTTGTTTTTTTTTTTTTCTGGGAGCAAACATAAAGCCCAGGGCTGGGATCCAGCTGAGGAGAACTCCAGCCAAAACAAGGCTGGCAGTGCTGGGAGCTGAAGCTGTGGTCCTATAATGGAAAATGTTTGGCATCTGCAGCGAGTGGTGCTGCTGCCAGTGCCACCACAGTGCCCAGCGTGCGACAGAAACAGTGTTTGTCTGGCCCTGGGATTATTTGGTTTAATCTCTCAGAAGCCTTGTTTCCCCCAGCAAACCCTGAGGGCTCTGGGTTTTGAACAAAGCCCAATATTACACACGATTTATCCAAAATATAAACCAGGAATATAAAGGCTGCTTTCACTCCTTGGGGGCTGGGGAAGTTTAGCTGTGTCAACAAGCCCAAAGTGGAGAGGCTGCTCTTCAAAAGTCACCATAAAACAGACACTTTGAGCCTTTCCCGAGCACTGAGAGGTGGCTGCTTGGCTGTAAAACAGCCAGGTTGGCCTCAGTTCAAGAACTTTCAGATTACAGCGTTAAAAACCGGTGTCTCTGGACTTGAGTAATACACAACACTATATATCAGAAAACCTAAGTGTCCATTTATCTTGATAATAAATACTTTCTCCCTTCATGTCTCTAAAGGAACAGGATTTCTATCAGCAAATGATGAGAAAGCAATACTCTGGGATGCATCCCCCCCCGGAGCCAAGAGGATCTTCAGGAGCAGTTTTTGCATTAATGTGTACTCAGGGAATTCAAAACATCCCTCTCTGGAGGATCAAATGTCAGCCCAACATTTCCTGCTGCTTATACATCTAATCAGCAAAGTTCACCCCATCAGCACCTTTTTTTAAGGCCCTGATCTCATCAGCTTCTGCTTTTGACATCGTTTGCTGTATTTTGTGGGACGGAAAAGATTTCTTTCTGCTCCATTTTCTCATATAACCCCCTGTTTGAAAACCAGCACAGAAAAGAAAACCACGTAAAAATACAAATTACTGCTGTTTCATAAAGGCCAGAATCAATGAGAAAGAACTGATCAGCAGAATGTGTTTTATTAACACGGCCCCACGATGGTCTGGGACCAAGCAGGGTGTGTTGCCAGTGACAAATGTTCTGTCGTGCCAGGAAAGATTGCAGCTCTCCTGAGCATGGAGATCTAGTCCTTCAAAAGGGCTTCTGAGGAGCACTGTAAATGCTAAATTAACTCCTCTCTCTGCTTCCTGGGACTGCTTGGAGAATTTAATACTGCAAATGAGAAAGATGTATAGAATTAAACCTGTAAATTGTTAATGAGACCCTAAAGCAGCCTCCCACTAACTCCCACAGCCACAAAGGCACACAAGTGGAAAAAGCCCAAAGTTGTGGGATGCTGGCAGCCACATCTTGGTGACTGGCTCAACAATGTATGCTGTCAGCCACCATCCTCTTGGTGAAAAACCCAGGGGACAGCAAAATCCCCCAGGACATCGTCCATACCACTGGTTCTTCTGGGAGATTCTGCACTGGGTGGGAGGAAAGAAATCACAAGTCAGGAAAGAACCAGGCTTTGGAGATGGCACATCCAAGGAAGAAGCTCAGAACCCCAGAACTTCCTCCTGTTCAACTCCCTGCCTCCCCCTGCACATCCCACCAAGCCCCCAAGGGAGCTGAGCCCCTGTTAATAAACCTGCCCAGGAAAGGATAAAAAGTTGCAGCTCATCCAGCAGCAATAAAGTCCAAGTGGATCTGCACTTGTATAAATCCAGGGAGAATTCTCTCCTTTCAAAATGATGGTATATTCAATACAGACATGCAGTCTCAAGCCTCAAAAATCAGCAAGTAAAATTCCTGGTGTCAAAGAAATCCACGGTGTGAAGTGAAATGAATGCTGTCTAGCAATCCCAGCTCGCCTGCTCATTCACAGCCCCCTCATGTCTCACTTCCCAAACCATTCCAACCACCAAGAGTTAAAAATACAGCATGAAAAAAAAAATATGTTTTATCCCTCTCTGTGTACTGAATTACCAGCTTTTCATTAAAACCCTGGAGAGACCCTTTATACTTAAAATCTCAACATTTACAAGCTGAGTGCTTTTACTTATAATTTCAGTTTCTTTCTGCAGAATACTTGATCTCTCTCTTCAATTTTCAGTTATGCTCGTTTCAGACATCAATTGTTAACTCCAGGGTTCCTCTGGGGACAGAGCAGCCAACAACACAGTTTTCAGAAAAGTCTCTCTGGGCTCCTAAAAATGCAAAGAAGAAACTCCAGGCTGTAAGAACTGGGCAGGAGTGGGCCAGGATACAACCAGAGCTGTTGTGCAGCCCCAGTGCTGGGGCTCTTCTTTGAGGTCTCTGCTGCATCCTTAAAGACATGTAAAAATTCCTGTGCTATTCTGATATTTTTATCTGTTTGCTGATGGTTTAACTTCGACAAAGAAAACTCCTGATAAAACACAGTTAAGGAAGGGTACAGCAAACCAGCTCAGATTCTGAGAAATCCTGGCACGCAGAAGAGGAGAGGGAAAAAGTTATATTTTTATGTTAATCAACTCCACTGATCACTTCCTGAGGGAAGTGCCAGAATGGACTGACAGGCTCTCAAAAAAATGTGAATTCCTTCCTTTAGCTCCCCCACTCAAGGAAAGAACCTTTCCTGTGCCTCCACTGAAGGCCAGGTGAGGGTAATGTGCCATCTTCACACCTAAGCTTCTGAAAAGCCAAGGTAGAGAGACTCTAACTCTCCAGTTAGAAGGAGATTTTCAAGACACAGCTTCCACCCAAAATTACGGGCAACAATGTTCTTCTCCCACGCTCTCCCAAGTCAGCAGCTCCTCGTGGTTGGTCCTGCTGAACTCAGAGCAGCTGTGAGCAAACAGAGGCAGCATTTGATGGATGCCAAGGAACTCAAACAGCTCTCTCAGCTCTCCCATCTTCCAGCAGGTAGAAGGTCCCCAGCAGAAGCCACACATTTGTCTGACGATGTGCAGGGCCCTCCGTGGGAAAATAAAAATTCAGAGCACTTGCAGGCATTAAAATCCAGCCAGTTTGCCAAGAGACTAATTGTCAGATAGAGGAAAAATGCCAGGAAATTCAGTACAGCTAAATGGTCCGAAGGCCCGTGAGACTTGGCAAACCCCAAGGGAGTCAATTATTGCATTATTGGTAACGTTGAGGACTTGAAAAATGTTTGGCCTTGCTTTCCTGACACAGAGGATTAAAGGTTAGAGATTGTCTCTCTCCAGAGCAAGCCCTGGTGTAAGCAGATCTATGGCAATCAATGGGAGTGATGCCTGAGGAAGGGCAGGACACCGAGCTGACCTCTGTCCTGAGCTTCAATCCTGCTTTGCTGACAGCCTGAGCCACTGGATTCCCTGAGTCTCCCTTTCCCTCTCTCCTGAAGGGGAACAGGACAGTCTGTGCCCTTGACAGTGGCAAGCTGAGCTCTGAGCATTCTGTCCTGTGTGAGGGCAGTGTCCAAGACTGCAGGAATATCCCAAGGAACTGGAACTGAGAGGCAACCCCTTTAGCTCTTGGTTTGCCATTGATTTTTAAACTTTCTGATGACAGATACCAGTCAGAGAATCCCAGAACCAGTTAGGCTGGAAAAACCCTCTAAGATCATTGAGTCCCACCAGCACTGCCAAGGCCACCACTACACCAGGTCCCCAAGTGCCACATCCACACGTTTCCTGAACGCTTGCAGGGACGTGGCCTGTGCACACAAAGATGGGAATTGCTGGGGGCTGGTGACAAATAACAGCAGAGACACAGGACAGGCACTCAGGGAGGCATCAGCTGAGGCAGTGAGCAGTTTTAAATGGTCAGCTCATCCCCTGGCAGGGTGTGAGCAGTACCCACCGTCCATCCCGCAGGGCACGAGCACTCCCCGGTGATGTGGTGGCAGATGCCGCCGTTCTGGCAGGGGCAGCGCAGCTCGCACTGGGCTCCGTGGCTGCCGGGGGGACACAGCTCCTCACAGCTGGGGGGACACAACCACAGACACCAAGAGATCATCAGGGAAACACTGCAGGAGGAAAACCCACCGCTGAAACCTCAGCTGGCACCACCGAGCAGCCAAGATCCCTTTAATTTCTGCTGGGGGTGTTTACAAGCCGTGGCTCCAGCCCTGGAAGGCTGATGCATGTGTGGAAGGTTCCTGCACCTCCCAGGTTCCACCCATCTCAACAGGACAACTCATAACCATTAAAACAGCCCAGGAAAATACGAGCTGCAAGATGAGGCCTTCAGTGTGAATTATGTGGCGTGGCAATAAAAGAAACTGCAAATAGAATAAGAGGAGGGGATTAAAATGCTTGAAATTTCTCCAGTCACTACTGAATGTTAACATTTGCAGTGTATAATGGACTGGCAAGGACTCAACATCATTCAAAGGCTATTTAAGCTCATTGAGTCTCTCTCAGTACTTGTGGGGAGGGGATGTAAGGCTAATCCCTGCAAAAACACTGTCTCCTACACTGGTGCTTTCACCATCAAGGTTCTGAAACTACAGAGTGTTCTTGTCCTAATTGACTGGCCCCTGATGAGGATGTTCCTACCACGTATCAGGGGTTGGCCCTGCTGAGAACTGACACACTGGTGTCAAGGAGAGCACTCCTAATAATGTGCAGAGTCTTTAGCAGGGAGTGCTTCCACAGCTGAGATCACAAGCCCATGAGGAAATCAGGCACTAAATAAAATATTCAAAAGGTGTATCACTTATTTATGAGGGTTAACACTGTCTTTAGTTTTTATCTTCCCCTCCTTGCAGGTCAACAAATAATAATAGACTGCAAAAGTATTAAGCCACCTGTAATAGATCTCCAACCGAATTCAGTGACTAAATTCTCTTTTCCCCTTAAATAATTCCGAAAAACATAATTACTTCTGAAACTGCTGAAAGATCTCTAATGAGAACTGATGTTACACTGTGGGCAATTTTAAACAAGGAACTATTGCTTGCTGTCCTGAAATTAATATGCAGATTTCGCGAATCCTACTGGTAAACTTTCCATGTGGCGGATGGGGATTTAGCTACACGGCTCTCGTTGAAGTTAATAGGAGTCACACGGCTAAATCCCTGCTCACCAGGCTTAAAATCTACCCCCTAGATAGTAAGCTGATATAGTTAACAGCAATGCTTTCTCAGTTAGATTGAAAGGCAAATAAATTGGGGATGGTTAAGTCCCATTTGATACTGCACTGGACTGCTAATGAGGAGAGTCCAATTGCTTATAAAAACTCAGCTGTAATGGGGACTGTATTCACATTCTGAAATTAAGAACAGGTAGAGCTGTTGCACAAGCTGGAAAATATAAAGGGTTTTAAAGCTTGTTTTAGCACTGTATTGTATTTCATTATGAGAGAATCATGTAATCTTGGAATGGGTTGGGTTGGAAGGGGCCTTAAAGATCATCTGGTTTTACCACCTGCCATGGGCAGGGACACCTTCCACCAGAACAGGTTGCTCCAAGCCCTGTCCAACCTGGCCTTGGACACTTCCAGGGATGGGCAACCAAAACTTCTCTGAGCAACCTGTGCCAGGGCCTCCCCACCCTCACAGGGAAGGATTTCTTCCCAATATCTCACCTTGAACCTGCCCTCTGGCACTTTGTTATATCACTACATACCCTGCCCAGCTCTCCTGAAGCCTCTTGAGGTGCTGCAGACAGCTCTAACCAGCAGCAAAAAGAGAGATTTCCTTTATTTAATCTCCATCCTGCCAGCTGATTTCCCCAAAAGCAGGTGCAAAACCCCCTGTGCCCGTTCTGCACCCAACGTGCCCCAAGCCCGGCCCATCCCGGCGGTGGCACTCACAAGACTCCGGTGTATCCGGGCGCGCAGTGGCACTCTCCGGTCTGGTGGTCGCAGGTGGCCCCGTGGTGGCACTGGCACTGGAGCTGGCAGCCCTTGCCGTAGGTGCCGGGGTCGCAGAGCTCCTCGCAGCGCCAGCCGCGGAAGCCGTCGGCGCACACGCAGGCGCCCGTGATGGGGTTGCAGAGCGCGTCGTTCTGGCACTGGCAGCGGTTGCTGCAGTGGGGCCCCCAGTGCTCGCTGTCACAGCCTGCAATCACACACACACACGGCTTCAACAACCCTCCTGGAGAGCACAGAGCGGCCCCAGCATCCCACCCCAGCCCCACGGATGGCAGAGCCGGTGCTGGAACTTTCCAGAACTTTCCCAAAGGGCCCAGCGCGCGAGGAGGCGACGGCACGGCCGGTGCACCGACAGTTGAGGACTTGTTTAACACCCTCACTGGATCAGCACCGAAATCTTTTAATATCCTGTTTCTTAGTGCTCTTAGGTAGCTGGAAGGAGTGAATTTATAGCGGAATTAGAGGCAGAGGATCACATCCCGCCTGCAGATCGGTTAATGGCAGGAGGCACTGCCCAGCAAATCCTGTCGATTTAATAATGTCATCAAACACTGCTTCTTTGTACTGTTCCTGTAAGATAATAAATAAGATAATCTAAAGAAGGTTTTCTTGGTTTTGTTTTAGATTTGGTTTTTTTTGGTGGTGGTGGCTTTTGTTTTGGGGTTTTTGTTGTTGTTGTTGTTGTTTTTTTTGTTTAGTTTGTTGTTGTTGTTATTGTTTTGCTTTCTGTGGATTTTTAAAAATTTATTTAATTTTTTTGTATTTTCCAGACTAAACAGATGGCAGGGAAGAAAATAACACTGGAGACAGGATGACCTGAGGCTGCCCAAGCTTAGGGATGAAGGTATGGAATGTGTATGTCAGGTAATTCCTGTGCCAGTAACAGGAACGCAGATGGACCCCAAACCTTCTGGCCATTGACAGGGAGAGGAGGTTGCCTACAGAAGGAACTAAGGCACAGTGAGAACCCTTCATGTGACAGTCCTGCCTGATCCTTTCTCTTCTTTTTGGGAGGATGAGAGAGGGAAGCCAGCATTACAGGAGCAGTTTGTCCCGATTTGTTGGAGGAACAGAAATTGGCACCTGCACAACACCTGTCTGAGCTGTGCACCGTGTTTCACTCACACCTACAACCCTCCTGCTCGTGTCAAACCCACTGCCAGGCAGCAGAGGGGACAGCAATCCCAGCAACAGAGCCATCTCCACAACCACTTTTGTTTGCAAACATTCACACTAATCCCCAGGTGCCACGTGCTGCTTCCCAGGCCTGGATCTGTTTCCAGGATTAGTGAGGTAAATGCAAAGCTCACTTAAGCCTGATGCTTTTGTCCAGCAAATTCCGTAGCCCTCTCCTTCTACAGCACATGGCTCTAAACCCACGCTGGAAAACAACATCTACCAGTTAATTTTGGCAGTGTTTTTATCCTTCATTTTGGGAAGAGGGATACTCCTTGGTCAGACACTCTGAGGATACCCAGCAGAGGAAGCAGAGAGACATTATTCCACCCGCACTGCTGATTAACAGTTTACAAACTTTTGTTTCTTGAGCAAGTGTTAAAGGCCAAAATAAACCCACAGAAGACAATTCCAGGGTTTCCAAAAGGATCTGCAGGGTCTTAGAGGATGCAGGTGCAGAGAGCTGGTTTCATGTCCTGCAGAAAGCAAATTCCTGGGCAGGAGCAGGACGATGCTCGTGCCTCCCTCACACGGTTGATTGCTTTGCCTCACTTCTCCCCCAGCTGCAAACAGGGATGATAATTCCTCTCTAACCCCACTGGGAGCCCAGCAAACAAAATCTGACTCTTTATGAGACTCAAATTATTACAGAGGATCTGTGGAAAGAGATGATCTGTCTTTATTTCACACAGACACTTGCTCAGGCTCCGTGAGCCTTCTGAGGCAGTGAGCAAAGCTGCAGGAGCTGATGGAGCTTCCCAGCAATTTCCATTCCAGAAACACTTGATGGACATCAAGGGATGCAGTTCAGCACCTCCACAAGGGTACAAATCTGAACCACACAAGCACAGCTGAGAGCCCTGAGCATGGGTAAGTGGAATTCAGGGACTGAACTTCACCCTGCCTGCTCTGGGAACTCGATTCCTCCTGTGCCAAACCTCACATCAGAGCCCCAACTGCAGACTCTGCCTTGTTCTGGGCTGGTACAATTCCAGCTGCAATTAATTTCCTTCATATGAATAAATAACACTCATTAGAAGAGGTGATTCTATCCTTGCTCTTCCCTGTCTCAGGTGGGTGCTCCAACCATCAGATTTGTCCACGGGGGTTTTTGTTTTTCACTTTGCAGGAAAGTGAAGGAGAAAGAAAACCTTCACAGAGAGGGAAAACCATTTTCCATCATCTGTTCAAGCATCTTGCTTCATCTGTCCAGAGCCTCCCCACCCACAGCTCCTTTTCTGTAAGTCCATCTTATTTGAACACTTATTTACTATTGATATTTGGTCACACACTTGCTTTCTGCATGTCCCAACGTTCACTCCACAATCCAGCCAAAGGGAAGAGCAAAAGTGCTGAAGGAAAGAGCAGAAATTCCTCTCATTGGTTGGAAAATCATAAAATAAATAATAATTAAAAAAAAAAACTTGAAAAGAATTTTCCAAAGGCTTCTCAGCGAAGGCATCAGTGAGTGCACAAAGCAGTGAGCCCCAATGGTTTAAGCACCTATGAAATAAAGCAGCTTGGCATACCATACAGCTGCTAAGAATGTGAATTTCATGGGGATTTATTAAGGAGAGAACATAAAAATGAGGATTAAAGTACATCTGAAAGCTCATGGAAGACAGAAAAAATAGAATTACCGCAAGATGAGGCTTGTAGAGTGTCATTGCCAATGCCTGACACAGCCTTTGCTTCTTTTCTGTTCCTAAAACCACTTGCAGGGATTGACCACAGTTCTCTGGAAGGTCTGAAACCAGTCACAGTGTGTGTGCATCACCAAGGGGAACACCCTGTTGTCTCACTGCTGATGGGATCACACGCACTCACTGACAGGTTGGACTCCTCTAGATTTAACCTCAGATGGTAAATGTTTCCTGTTTTCAGCCACCAGCTCAAGCCCTGTATTTGTCACACTGAGCAGGGCCATTTCATGCACTATCAATTCATCCACTGCTGATTAACTGCAAAGGGAATTGAGTGGAAATCATTGGCACCGTGTTAGTGTAAAACTTGTGATAATGAAATATCCCCCTCACCTGATTTTACACTGCCTTAACCTCACGTGAAAAGTAAGATCTGTGTTGCTCAGAGTTTATCACTTCCTATTGGTTTTCTTCCCCTCTTTCCTTTGGGTCCCATATTGCAGTGACAGACTGAAGCTGGAAGTGAATTCCTCACCTGTGTCATTTCACTGGAACAGGATGTGATATTTATATGGTAACTCAGAGATCTGCACTGTGATAACTTCTGAACCTCTGCACAGGTAGCAGATACAGAGATGATGAGCTCAATCCAAGTGCTTATTCATGCAATTAACTCCACTGGGCTCAACAGGCTCACTCAAGTGTGAGACTACTCGAGTGGGAGACCACTCGAGTGTGTAACCAGCTCAGGATTGGGAGCCAGCAGCTCTTGCTAGAAAACTAAAAACCAGAAGAAACCAAAGACTTCAGCAACCAAGATGATTTTTTTCTATATCCACCAGTGTGGCAAATGCTGGCTGGTTGTGACAGTGACTCCAGTTCCTGAGATGAAGGGCAAAGCAGGCTCAGAGCCACAGGATCCCGCTGCACTTCGGGATCATCAGCACCTTCTCCCAGGGCTTGGAGGGACCATCTTAAAAACACAAGCCCAGCCTAGCACAGCCTAATCCTGCTCTTGTTGTGTGTTACCATAATAGAGATAAATAATAACAGCAACAACATGTGAACAGAGAGCTGATTAAAGCTTACACGAGCGCTCCACTGTAAATGCATATGCCATTAAAATGTCAACATGATACAGAGACTTTAACTAGACCATCAATAAGGAAAGCAACCTGAGAGTGGGGAATGTCAGGGAGGTACAGATGCTCCCTTGGCTGCGTGTGGGGATGTCAATACTGTGAGGGATGAGCCTGAAATAGCCCCTGTTCTCTTGGGAGATGCTGCATTAAAGGAGCTGCCATATTTCAGGTCACGTGCCCGCATTCCCTGGCAAACGTGCAAACTTAGTCACTTCTTCACCTTCAAAAATAGGACTGGAGAATAATTGCCACCAATGAAAATAACTCTGTAGAGGATGATGCTGGGTGCCTAAGTATAATTACACTTGTCTGCACAGGGTATGACAGGGATTTATCCTTCCATGGAGAGAGTGCTCAGTGCAGCACCAGGAGTGCTCCAGCAGCACCAAGGGCTCTCCTCCCTGGCCATCCCTACTCCCATGTCAAAGCCTCAGCTCCTTCTTGAAGTGAGGGATAATGACTGCAGGCTCTGCATGGAGCATCATGGAATCACAGAACGATTAAGGTTGGAAAACACCTCCAAGTCAGCAAGTCCAACCTTTGACCCAACAGCCCCGTGCCCAGCAAACCCCATCCTGAAGTGCCACATCTGCTTGTGTTGTGAACCCTCCCAGGGATGGTGACCCCAGTTCTGTCCTGGGAAATAAAATACACAATGAGGACAAGCTGGAAGTGCTGCTTCACTCCCAAAGGGCTGTTTATCCCTCTAGGAATGGCCAGGGAATGGCTGTGTCCTGGGTCCACAGAGCCACCCAGTATTAGTGCAGCAGCACAAGTCAGGCACAACGAAGCAAACCCACCAGTGGCAGATAAACAAAAGGAATCCTGAGGAAGGGATGGCATTTATTGAGTGATTTATCCTGGCAAGAGGGAGTCAAAAGTGCTTTTCCAGAGCTTTTCCATCCCTGCACAAACACACTGTCAAGGTGAGAACAGCATCTTCTCTCACAGCAGCACCAGAACCTGTGGTCTCAAGGACTGTGTTTGTGTTGTTCCCATCAGCACAAGCCTCCCTGTGTCTCTTTTGTAGCCAGTGACCATCCCTGGGTCTGCAGAGTCCCTGGGACATCCCCAAACATTCCTGCAGAAGGCACAGCTAAAAAACACCCAGTGGTGGATTTCCTTGGTCTAAAGGCTCAGGACCATATTGAGCTGATGGGGAGTTTCAATTAATCCACACTTTAAAGCAACTTTCTGCAGATTTGCTGAAGCACAGAACGCAGCTC